TATGTAACAACATAACACATTTTACCAATAGCATTTTTAACTATCTGATATTGCCATTCTTGTTCTCAAATGACAGAATCTAATATTTATACGTCACTTACTTTAAGAATCTGCACGACACCAGGGGAACAAATTTGTTGGGACAACAATTATCAAAATTGATTAAACCGGTTTATAGTATAAGTCTTCAGAAGTTTGTTTTAGGAAATAAATATCCTAGAAGGAAATGCTGAAAAGGAATTCTAAGCTAAATAATAAGTTGGCAGTTTGTCATTTAAGAAGAGACATCAAAAATATTTAGGAGGACCAGAAAATGAAAAGTGTGATTATCGATAATTACCAACAGCCCGGGCAAAATACATAAGAACATCTGTTGGTGAAGCAAACGGACCAAATGTGATCAATGGATATGATAATGGAGCAATGATCTTTATATTTGATTCCCTCCTCAAGTCAACCTGCTCAAACAATGACCAGACTTCTGAAAAGCAATTGCTATCTAACAATTAGTCTCACAAGCTAACCAAGAAATATCAAGTACCTCACATCGTTGTGTAGTATCCGCAAGAACCCCTAATGCTTCTCCATCAGGGAGAACTGCTAGAACCCAAGGATGGGATTGATACAAGGGAGTTGTTCCCGTACCATAGCTCCCGGTGTTCCAAGTAAAAATCCGTTCATAGTAAAAATAGAAATTATTTCAAGAACGGTCATTCATAATTTAGTGACGAAAAGCTGGATCAAGTGACTTACTCTCTTCCCCGTCCGCTCCAGCTGCCCACTAACTTCTCCAGTTCCATAAAAAGAGGTACCAGACGGGAACTAAAACACAGAAAATTTCGCGCCAATATTTAAAACGTGTAAACTTGTACAAGGTAAAAATTGAAGCTGAATCACATTTTAATGATATAGAAGAATGGGCAATGCTTAAAGAATGATGATAAACTGTATTACCTCAATATTAACTATCTGTTGTCCCATAAAACATTCAAATGTGGGATTGTATGTTGGAATTTTATGAACATTCATAATTGGCGTCTCCCTCTCTTTTGAATTCTTAAAAGAAATGCTCGGGAATGCAGTATTTCTATCATCCGCAGAACAATCGAAACGAAAAACTCCTTCCTCTAGAATTGGCTCGAATATCATTTTACCCGATTTCACCTCAGAACTTGTCGCCATTCCTTCATATCCAGCCATCTTAGACACTGCTAATCTTTCACCAATCAACCTCTTTTTCACCCAATTCTTTCTACATGCCATATAATCATATCAGGAATATTCCCCAAATCATGCAACTAGATCCAAATAATTAATAGCAATATCAAAATAAGAACTTAAGAGCACAACAATACCAAGAAATCCCACAGATTTTTCTTGAAATTCACTTCACAAGGCTTGATTAGATTTTTACTCGGATTAAACACTAGAAAAATCTTCAATTTAATAAGAAAAATAAACAAAATTTAATCTTGAACTAACCTGGTTAAATCATTCACTGTGAATACAGGTAATGAATTGAAGCAATGCAAAGACTTTCGGTTTCTCAATGACCCTATCGAAGTTCTTGAAAAAGAACCTTGAGTGGAGTTTCAAAAATGAAAGTGATGCCTTTTCAATTAGAGTTGTGCCATGTACAATGGGGTCGACAACCTCGGATGATACACGCAGATTAAAAAAATCGTGGGTCCTTCCTCCTGCGCAGGGGCGGAGCTATGAAGGGTCCACTGAACTTTGGCTCATTTCCTTTCACACTTCAGTTCGGTTCGGGTGCTCACAAACTGGAAGGCAAAAGCTCATAAAAGTGAGTAAATCATCAACAATGAAAAATCTTGAAGGTGCTCTGGTGCTACAATGTGTATATATATGGAGTGTGAGAGAAGCTGGTCGCAGAGAGTTGATAGAATGAGAAGAGAAACAGAGAAAGTGAGAGACAGTGGGTTGAGTGTTGTGATAGAGAGAGAGAGAGAGAGAGAGACTGAATTTGCAGCAAAGTGGTTAAGTGTTGTTGAGGACATATATATATATATATATATATATATATATATATATACACACTCTGATGTAATCAATTAAGAAAATGTCATTTTCACCCCTTTTTCTTCTTTCTCCCTGTAGAAATCATAAAAAAAGATTGTCTTTTTTCAAAATTTCTGAATGAATACTGTTTTTCTGAAATAAATAAATAAATCACCCGCTTTATCCCATTTGGTAATTGAAAAAATTGATTAGATATTCATGAGGATGATTTTTGGTCTCTGAAAATTGCTTTTGATGAGTGATCCACCCAATGATAAAAGTCAACTGAGGTAGCGTGGAATGATATTTGATGAGAGAGTGTGTGTTTTGTAACAAAATATTACATAAATTTTCATCAATTTAATTGTTTCTTTAATATTTAAATTTAACAATTTGATATTAGAGAGTAGCAATCATAGACGAATTTTGAGCTTCTGGAGTTTGTGTACAAAGGAAAATTCTAAAGTTTCTATAAAACTTGTTTGATTACAAAGAGGTAATCAAATCACAATAGAAAATCTAGAAGTCGTAGATGTAATAAAAAAGTTCAATAACAAAAAATTATACCATGTGACAAATTTTCATAAAATTTTATCTCTGAAAGAAGTGACACGATACTGCTAGACAAAATCATGGCTCTATAAAAGTAGATAATCAAAGCAAGCACGGCTCTGTTTGTCGTAAAGATAACAATAGAAAGAGAATTGTTAGAGAATGTAAAGGATACGGACACATCAAAATTTTTTTACCCGCACTGAATAATAATCCTAGCTCCGCCCCTGCTCCTGCGAATACATTATCGGTTGTCAACCTCGACTGTAGAGGAAGAATAATTCTTTCAATAAACAATAGGAGATTTGACATATAAGTAAAAGAATAATTCTTCCAAACATGGCAACGTGAACCCGTCCCCACTAAAAGAATAATTCTTCTCAAAGATGTATTCGTTTAAATTTATTCTAAACGAAGTTTCAGAATTAAAAATGCATGGCGGGTTCATGAGATTTTTGTTAGTTGGTGATGGAGCTTGTACTCGCGCGCTGATGCATTTACTACAACCGAAAGGAGTCATATTTTTGAGGACTTTTATGACTCAAGCACCTCGTAAATCGTGAAACATTTGAGACACGTGGGACTAACCTTTTTTGTCAGAGGATGTTTGAGAGTCATTTTTATAAAAATACATTTTGAAATAGTAAATTAATGGAAAATGTGTGGTTGAAAAATAAAAAATAAAAAAATTTTTGATTTACGTGTAATATTATTTTAATAAAAAATGTGTGATTGAAAAGAAAAGAGAAAAAATACATTTTAAAAAAAAATAAGTACCAAACGAGACCTAACTGTAAAATCTGCTTAAAATTAGGCTTAGAAATGTGCGGACTACTATAGTGTCAGAGTGGCATATGGTAAATTTGAGACAAAAATTGAGTGGATTATCTTTAGACCATCTTCAGTCATTGCACCGAAATTTGAAATCAATTTTGCATTTGCAATGTAAATTTTGCACTAAAATGAAAATTATTTTCGATTCAAACATCAAAAGTTGTAGCCAATGAACCATGTCATTGTTTTTTTAATTTTTTAGTACTTAACAATTTATTTATCTCAAAATTTATTTAATTATTTATTTTATTACTACTTAAATTTATCAAGTACATTTATTTTAATTCATTCCTTAATTATTAATATTGATTACATGACTAAAATTTATTACAAATGCACATGATGATGATGATGATGATGATGATAACGGCGATGATGATAAATTAAATTAGTTATTAAAATTTGTTGTATAACAAATAAAGAGCAAAATGGCAATATTTCCTTCGCATTATTGGTGGAGCTTTGTACCATATTTTTGCATCATTATGATATTTTGCCATTTTGGTGTCTCCGTTTGAGACAGGGGCGGAGCCCCATTAGGTCCGGTGTGGGCTCTGAACTTTTGGGCTCCAGTAGGCCCAAAAAAAAATCTTTTTTTTTTTAAAGCCTGGTTAAATGTCCAATCCAGATGGAAGCTCAATTGCCCACAACCCATGACCCGTTTGCCAACCCAGACCCGGAATGTGGATTCAAATCATTCAATTAACCCATTTTAATTGAAATCAAAACCAAACCAAACCCTTGAATCGTGTCTCTCTCCATCTCTCGACTCTCGCCTGCCTCTCTCGAAACTCTGCCCCTGCCAAGCACCAGTTGCCACCTCTAAAGAAGAAGAACTGAAGAAAAGAAGCTATAGGCAGCAGGGGCTTACTGACTTTGATTTCAATTTGAAGAAAAGAAGCCGTAGGCTCGCCGCTCGTAGCCCAGCAGAAGAACGATTGAACGAAGAAGGTGAAGGTGACTTACTGACTTTGATTTCAATTTGAGTTAATTTGTGTGCAGTGTGTTTATTAATTTTCCATTGCTGAATTACTTGTCATTTTAGTAAAAGTTAGGCACAACCGCACAAGAGAAATGAACCGTTATATTCGCTCCCAAGTGCAATACCCCAACTCCAAAAACTAAGAAGAATGAGTTTCATATTTCACTTTATGGAGTGGGAACTAGGAATTAATTGATATCTGCTCTCCCAAGTGCGATACACCCAAGCTCCAAAAAATAGAGGAATGAGTTTCATATTTCACTTTATGGAGCAAGAATAATAGAAAACCCACGGAATAAAAATAAATATAAAATAAAAGTGTTGAAATTAAGTTGTTTCCAAGCCGCGGGTCCTACAATTAGCGTTATTCATCTTGTCACCCAAGTGCGGTGGCTTGTATTCTCGGCTAGGCCTTTATATAATGTTACAATTATCCAGACTAGTATCGAGAAACTTAAGACAATATAATTATATTAAAGATACAATAATAGTCATATTAAATATGTTTTTGCTTATTAGATGCCTGATATTGTTCTGATTTGTAAATCAATTCTACAAGGACAAGCTTAGAATAAATTCTTGCCTAAGCATGGAAAATTAGGCAAAAGTTAAAAGCTTTGGATGCCAAGCAAAGTCACAAGATTCATTTAGGGCCTGACTCATGATCCATAATATCTTGTACCTAAATATTGTATTACGTATTAGATAAGGTACAATATGGGTGGGTTCGTGGATTTTAATGATTAATATTTAATTACTACTATATAACAAGTTGATTAATTATGCAAAACCAACCCATACCTCCTCGAACTAACCCATATGATGGAACTTGGAAGCTTCATTATTAAAATAATTTATTTGTTTTGGATACTAATTCATAGTCTGTTCTATTTGTGTCCTTAATTCCGCTAATTTGTCTGAATGGAGCATTAAATTGGATTGATAAGGTGAATTGATATTGTGAAATTGGATTGATAATGTGAAATTGTGAAATGTGAATTGCATTGCGATTTGAGATTGTGAAATTGTGAATTTATGATTCTTTTGTCATTATGAATTATTGTCACTCACTCCCAATAATAATTGGATATCAAGTGTTTAAATCCAGATATCAAATGAATAGATACTTTCAACGAAAAAAGAACGTAGATAATATTGTTATCTTTTCAGAACAAGTTCTGGAAAGCAAGGTGGAGGTGAGTCTTTTGTTGGTGAAGGTTTTACATATTGGAAAGATAAAAAAAAAGGCTTCATACTCATGTTGAACTTCATGATAGTGGACATAATTAAGCTCGCATTAAGTGTGAAGTGTTGATGAATCAAGAGCAACACATTCAATCAGTTTTCTACAAACAATCAAAACAAGCAAGAAGTGCATATGTTACACATCTTAATGCATCCATTGATTGTGTTCGACTTCTTTTGCGACAAGGGCACTAATTTCGAGGTCATGATAAATCTAAGAATTCTCTCAATCTAGGTAACTTCTTAGTGCAATTGCAATTTTTGGCTGCTCATAATGAAGTTATTAATGCCATCACATTGGGAAATGCTCCTCACAATTGCAAATTGACATCATCTGATGTTCAAAAGGATATAGTAAATGCTTGTGCTATTGAAATGATCAATGTTATTATCAAAGATGTTGGCGACTCGCTATTTTCTATTCTAGTTGATGAATCTCGTGATGTGTCAATGAAGGAGCAAATGTCTATTGTTTTACGTTATGTAGACAATAGTGAGCATGTCAATGAACGCTTCATAGGGATTGAACATGTTACAAGTACCACGACTATATCACTTAAGGCTACAATTGATAAGGTATTTTCTAGATATAACTTGAGCATGTCTAGATTGAGAGGACAAGGTTATGATGGAGCAAGTAATATGTAAGGTAAGTTTAATGGTCTGAAAACACTAATTTTGAAGGAGAGTCCATGTGCCTTTTACATTCACTGTTTTGCCCATCAACTCCAACTTGCGCTTGTAGCTGTGGCAAAGAAGAACATCCCTATTACTAACTTCTTTCATGTGGTTGAGGACATGATAAATACTGTTGGAGCATCTTCCAAACGTTGTGATCTTCTTCGAGAAAAATAATTAGACTTTATTGTTGAGGCATTGGAAAAAGGTGAGATTTTAAGTGGACGGGGACTTAATCAAGAAACGACCCTTCAGCGCTCTGGTGATACACGATGGAGTTCACATTATAATTCTTTGTTCAGCTTGCTTGCCATGTTCTCTTCTGTTTTAGATGTAATTGCAATGTTTGTTGAAAATGAATCTTGTTCTTGTGATCAAAGATCTGATGCAACAAATTTATTGGAATCAATACCAAAATTTGATTTTGCATTTAATCTACAGTTGATGAGAAGTGTCTTGGGGATGTCAAATGAACTGTCAAAGGCATTGCAAAAGAAAGATCAAGATATTGTGAATGCAATGCAATTGGTGAGATTGTGCAAACGACGACTCTAAATAATGAGAGATGAAGGGTGAGACTCCTTTTTGGAAGAAGTATGTTCTTTTTGTCAACAACATTACATTCATATACCCAACATGGATGATATGTTTGTACGCCTTGCACTTCATGGTCGCTCTCAGCGTAATTCTCCTGAAATTACAAATTTACATCATTACTGAGTAGATTTGTTCTATTCTGTCTTCGATTTACAACTTCAAGAATTGAATGATCGTTTCTCGAAGGTAAATACAGAGTTACTCCTTTGTGTAGCTTGTTTATGTCCACAAGATTCATTTTCTTCTTTTGACAAGAAAAGTTTGATTAGACTTGTTGAGTTTTATCCATTAGATTTCTTTGTAGTAGATGTCATTGTACTTAACAATCAATTTGAGACTTATATTTTTGACATGCGTTCTAATAAAGAGTTTGAAGGGTTGAATGACCTTGGTGATCTTGCGAAGAAGTTAGTTCTGACAAAGAAAGATAGGGTATATCCATTGGTTTACAGACTGACTTTGGCATTGATTTTACCGGTTGCTACTGCTTTTGTTGAGAGAGTCTTTTCTGTAATGAGTATCGTAAAGGATAGATAGTAAAATATGGTGATATATTTTTGAAGCTTGATAATGAAGTTATTGTACGATAATATCAAAATATGAAAACTCGCAAGGAACAAGTTTAATATATAAATTATGTCGTTTTTAGTATTATTCTAATATTGTTTTATTTTTTTATCATCATTAAATCTATAACCAAAACCTCAAAGTTCGGTGTCGAAAAATTATACCCGCATTAAACGTAAATCCTGGCTCCACCCCTGGTTTGAGATGTCCTAAAAGAACATCATAATAAGTAAACTGAAATACTCCACACTTTGTTTTATATTTTAGTCATACATTTTATAAGATCTATAACTTTTTTCACTTTTCAATCACATATTTTACTAATTTTTATCAAAATTTACTAAAAATCTAATTTCTATCCAAATCAAAGAGTGGCTCAATTAGACGTTTATTAAAAGTTCAGTAGCTCTAGTTGTTTGGGAACGCTTTTCAACAATTGGCATAACATATGAAATTACATTTTTTTGCAAAATTAACTTAAGTACTTGAACTTTAAGTGAAATTTCACTTTGTTAACAAATATCAGTATGTGAAATTTCACTTTAATTTTAGCAAAATCAAAGTGGAGCTTACTCTACTCATCGGAGAAAAAGGGATTGGCATATTTAAGTGACTTCATTGGAACTTACCAAAGTGAAACTTAGCTACAAATTTCATGATTTTACAATTGTTTTTTACTCGAGACATAATAGTTACTATAGGACTGGCCGTGGCCCAAGGCAAACTAGGCCATTGCCTTGGGCCTCAGAGGAAAAATGAGCCCAATCCAGAACCCTTATATCCTTAAGAAAAATAATACACGTTTAAAAAGAGAGGAAATGAACGATCTGTCTTTTTCTTTCGTCACCAAAAAAATCTATAAATTTCCAATTTCCCACCCACAACTGGTGCATCTTGATTCTCTTGAAGGTATCCAAAAAACTCAAGGTAATATTTATACTATTGTTTTGTCCCTTTTTGGGAAAATATTTATACTCTAAATTCATTTGTTTTATGTTTTTGAGGATTTTAGGCAAATATTGGAATTGGGGTTGAGGAAGAAGGGTCTAGAGGAAGAGAATGACCAGCTATTGAAAGAGAAGGTAGTTACAATTAAGAAGGTTGTTGGTGAAAAACAATATCTGGGGATTTTTCTTTAAATTGGAGCAGAATTGAAGAAAGATGGCAGAGTGCAGGCCATAGTTTCTTTTGTTGTTCAATGTTTGGTCACAAAAGAGTGATTATTTTTATTTTGTGTTGTTGAAATAAAAACTAAAAAGTGGGTTCTTGATTTTTGAGTGGTTTTGGACATGGCCAGGATACCAACTATTGAAAGAGAAAGTAGTTACGGTTGATTTATTGTATTAATTTTTTAATTTTTTTATTATTTTTTTTATATTTTTGGGTAGACTTAGGATGATAGTTTTTGAGACAATGATCAATCTGTTAAATCTCAATTAATCTACATTCATTATTGGAGTTATAAACAGCAAAAAGGAAGGTGATTAATTAATTGCATCTTGTCAAAAGAATAGTTTGTATCACAATGAGATCCACTTTCTCCATTTGGTGTTTGTATAATTACTCCTCATTGGTGTTTTGTTGTACGCCTTGCACTTCATGGTCGCTCTCAGCGTAATTCTCCTGAAATTACAAATTTACATCATTACTGAGTAGATTTGTTCTATTCTGTCTTCGATTTACAACTTCAAGAATTGAATGATCGTTTCTCGAAGGTAAATACAGAGTTACTCCTTTGTGTAGCTTGTTTATGTCCACAAGATTCATTTTCTTCTTTTGACAAGAAAAGTTTGATTAGACTTGTTGAGTTTTATCCATTAGATTTCTTTGTAGTAGATGTCATTGTACTTAACAATCAATTTGAGACTTATATTTTTGACATGCGTTCTAATAAAGAGTTTGAAGGGTTGAATGACCTTGGTGATCTTGCGAAGAAGTTAGTTCTGACAAAGAAAGATAGGGTATATCCATTGGTTTACAGACTGACTTTGGCATTGATTTTACCGGTTGCTACTGCTTTTGTTGAGAGAGTCTTTTCTGTAATGAGTATCGTAAAGGATAGATAGTAAAATATGGTGATATATTTTTGAAGCTTGATAATGAAGTTATTGTACGATAATATCAAAATATGAAAACTCGCAAGGAACAAGTTTAATATATAAATTATGTCGTTTTTAGTATTATTTTAATATTGTTTTATTTTTTTATCATCATTAAATCTATAACCAAAACCTCAAAGTTCGGTGTCGAAAAATTATACCCGCATTAAACGTAAATCCTGGCTCCACCCCTGGTTTGAGATGTCCTAAAAGAACATCATAATAAGTAAACTGAAATACTCCACACTTTGTTTTATATTTTAGTCATACATTTTATAAGATCTATAACTTTTTTCACTTTTCAATCACATATTTTACTAATTTTTATCAAAATTTACTAAAAATCTAATTTCTATCCAAATCAAAGAGTGGCTCAATTAGACGTTTATTAAAAGTTCAGTAGCTCTAGTTGTTTGGGAACGCTTTTCAACAATTGGCATAACATATGAAATTACATTTTTTTGCAAAATTAACTTAAGTACTTGAACTTTAAGTGAAATTTCACTTTGTTAACAAATATCAGTATGTGAAATTTCACTTTAATTTTAGCAAAATCAAAGTGGAGCTTACCCTACTCATCGGAGAAAAAGGGAGTGGCATATTTAAGTGACTTCATTGGAACTTACCAAAGTGAAACTTAGCTACAAATTTCATGATTTTACAATTGTTTTTTACTCGAGACATAATAGTTACTATAGGACTGGCCGTGGCCCAAGGCAAACTAGGCCATTGCCTTGGGCCTCGAGGAAAAATGAGCCCAATCCAGAACCCTTATATCCTTAAGAAAAATAATACACGTTTAAAAAGAGAGGAAATGAACGATCTATCTTTTTCTTTCGTCACCAAAAAAATCTATAAATTTCCAATTTCCCACCCACAACTGGTGCATCTTGATTCTCTTGAAGGTATCCAAAAAACTCAAGGTAATATTTATACTATTGTTTTGTCCCTTTTGGGAAAATATTTATACTCTAAATTCACTTGTTTTATGTTTTTGAGGATTTTAGGCAAATATTGGAATTGGGGTTGAGGAAGAAGGGTCTAGAGGAAGAGAATGACCAGCTATTGAAAGAGAAGGTAGTTACAATTAAGAAGGTTGTTGGTGAAAAACAATATCTGGGGATTTTTCTTTAAATTGGAGCAGAATTGAAGAAAGATGGCAGAATGCAGGCCATAGTTTCTTTTGTTGTTCAATGTTTGGTCACAAAAGAGTGATTATTTTTATTTTGTGTTGTTGAAATAAAAACTAAAAAGTGGGTTCTTGATTTTTGAGTGGTTTTGGACATGGCCAAGATACCAGCTATTGAAAGAGAAAGTAGTTACGGTTGATTTATTGTATTAATTTTTTTATTTTTTTATTATTATTTTTATTTTTTTGGGTAGACCTAGGATGATAGTTTTTGAGACAATGATCAATTTGTTAAATCTAAATTAATCTACATTCATTATTGGAGTTATAAACAGCGAAAAGGAAGAAAAGTTTGATTAGACTTGTTGAGTTTTATCCATTAGATTTCTTTGTAGTAGATGTCATTGTACTTAACAATCAATTTGAGACTTATATTTTTGACATGCGTTCTAATAAAGAGTTTGAAGGGTTGAATGACCTTGGTGATCTTGCGAAGAAGTTAGTTCTGACAAAGAAAGATAGGGTATATCCATTGGTTTACAGACTGACTTTGGCATTGATTTTACCGGTTGCTACTGCTTTTGTTGAGAGAGTCTTTTCTGTAATGAGTATCGTAAAGGATAGATAGTAAAATATGGTGATATATTTTTGAAGCTTGATAATGAAGTTATTGTACGATAATATCAAAATATGAAAACTCGCAAGGAACAAGTTTAATATATAAATTATGTCGTTTTTAGTATTATTCTAATATTGTTTTATTTTTTTATCATCATTAAATCTATAACCAAAACCTCAAAGTTCGGTGTCGAAAAATTATACCCGCATTAAACGTAAATCCTGGCTCCACCCCTGGTTTGAGATGTCCTAAAAGAACATCATAATAAGTAAACTGAAATACTCCACACTTTGTTTTATATTTTAGTCATACATTTTATAAGATCTATAACTTTTTTCACTTTTCAATCACATATTTTACTAATTTTTATCAAAATTTACTAAAAATCTAATTTCTATCCAAATCAAAGAGTGGCTCAATTAGACGTTTATTAAAAGTTCAGTAGCTCTAGTTGTTTGGGAACGCTTTTCAACAATTGGCATAACATATGAAATTACATTTTTTTGCAAAATTAACTTAAGTACTTGAACTTTAAGTGAAATTTCACTTTGTTAACAAATATCAGTATGTGAAATTTCACTTTAATTTTAGCAAAATCAAAGTGGAGCTTACCCTACTCATCGGAGAAAAAGGGAGTGGCATATTTAAGTGACTTCATTGGAACTTACCAAAGTGAAACTTAGCTACAAATTTCATGATTTTACAATTGTTTTTTACTCGAGACATAATAGTTACTATAGGACTGGCCGTGGCCCAAGGCAAACTAGGCCATTGCCTTGGGCCTCGAGGAAAAATGAGCCCAATCCAGAACCCTTATATCCTTAAGAAAAATAATACACGTTTAAAAAGAGAGGAAATGAACGATCTATCTTTTTCTTTCGTCACCAAAAAAATCTATAAATTTCCAATTTCCCACCCACAACTGGTGCATCTTGATTCTCTTGAAGGTATCCAAAAAACTCAAGGTAATATTTATACTATTGTTTTGTCCCTTTTGGGAAAATATTTATACTCTAAATTCACTTGTTTTATGTTTTTGAGGATTTTAGGCAAATATTGGAATTGGGGTTGAGGAAGAAGGGTCTAGAGGAAGAGAATGACCAGCTATTGAAAGAGAAGGTAGTTACAATTAAGAAGGTTGTTGGTGAAAAACAATATCTGGGGATTTTTCTTTAAATTGGAGCAGAATTGAAGAAAGATGGCAGAATGCAGGCCATAGTTTCTTTTGTTGTTCAATGTTTGGTCACAAAAGAGTGATTATTTTTATTTTGTGTTGTTGAAATAAAAACTAAAAAGTGGGTTCTTGATTTTTGAGTGGTTTTGGACATGGCCAAGATACCAGCTATTGAAAGAGAAAGTAGTTACGGTTGATTTATTGTATTAATTTTTTTATTTTTTTATTATTATTTTTATTTTTTTGGGTAGACCTAGGATGATAGTTTTTGAGACAATGATCAATTTGTTAAATCTAAATTAATCTACATTCATTATTGGAGTTATAAACAGCGAAAAGGACGGTGATTAATTAATTGCATCTTGTCAGAAGAATAGTTTGTATCACAATGAGATCCACTTTCTCCATTTGGTGTTTGTATAATTACTCCTCATTGGTGTTTTGCTCGTGTTACTTTCTTTTAATTATATTGCATCTGGTTATTGTTTCGACTTATGGTTTTGCAATCGGGTTTTTTCTTATCCTTTTGGGTTATTTGCTTAATGGGTTTTTTTTTTTTTTTTTTGCTTTTCTTTTTTTCTTTTTTCTTTTTGGTAACTATATACTTACATGTTACTTTGAATTGCATAAAGTCTTTTTTTTTTTTTAATATGAAAGTGTTAATTATTTAAGCTCTTGTTTGATTTTCATTCTTTAAAAAATTCAATTTTTCTTAAAACTCATTTTCAACCACAAATTCTTTTATAAAATAATATTACACCCAAATTCAAAACTTTTCTTTAATTTTTCATAATACATTCTCCATCAATCTACTATTCAAAATGTATTATTTTCCCCAAAATGGGGATCAAACAAGGGCTAAATATTTAAATTGATTGTACTGTATATACATAATATGATTACATAATGATTTACATACATAAGATGTGATGAGCTATGATCGAATCGAAATTTCTTCAACTAAATTTTAAAAAAAAAAAATTCTACTCTCTTTTGGGCATCTCATCTGTACATAAATCATTATATAACGACTTATGTACAAGTTGCATTATTCTATTTAAATGTTATTACACTTGGAAAAAAAATTATGTTGGAGGGCCTCATAATAAATAGTCACCTAGGACCTCTAAATTTTCAGAGCCAGCCTTGTAGTTACAGGTGTGATCTACTATACTTTCCATGCTAAAAGTCAATTAATATTTTAAATATTTTTATGCTTTTGTATGTGTTATTTGAATAAAGTAATAACGAAAATTAAACCAAATAGACTTGGAAATTGGAAATTTTAGTTCTTCGTGTATTACGATGTTTTTATCAAGAATTGGACAGTTAGAATATATATTGAACTCGATGAAATTGAAGTTTTTATGAAACTAATAATTTTCCAACAATATTGAATCATTATACAATTACAAAAGCAATGAAAACTTGAACAAGGAAAAATCCACTTGAACGCCACCCCCCCCCCCCCTCCAAAACCTCAATAGGGGGT